TTTTTTTTTTTTGAGTCGGAGCCTCAAGCTATCCCCCTGGGTAGAGTGCCGTGGTTCACTGCTCACAGCAACCTCCAAATCCTGGGCTCAAGCGAGTCTCCTGCCTCAGCCTCCCAAGTAGCTGGGACCACAGGCGCCCACCACAACGCCCGGCTATTTTTTGTTTGCAGCCGTCATTGTTGTTTGGCAGGCCGGGCTGGATTTGAACCCACCACCTTGGGTGTACGTGGCTGGTGCCTTAGCCACCTGAGCCACAGGCACCGAGCCCTCTGTTCTCATTTTTAAAAAATGTTTGTAAAAAGAATTCCTTGCTTTACATATATATTTTTATATAAATAAGCAGCATAGAACTGCCAGGAAGGCCCACTAATTATTGCAGGATTTCTTTATTTTAATCACAGCCAAGAATGATTGGCTGGGCTATTTAACAAGACCACTGAGAAAAGCATGAAGACAGTTAAGTCAAATAGACTAAAAAACAATAATATTAAAATTAAACACCACAAGAAAAATTTTTAATAGCAAGACAACTAAAAAAAGTATACAAGCAAAACAGAAACAGGTTGTTTCTAGTGTGAATATGTAAATATCTAACCAAAAGGCTAAGCTGGAATGTAATTTATTTCCTATGTTAAACCTTGTTTGTCTATATCAGATTAATGGGGATTTTTCTCTTGAAATATGTAAAACAGCACTTCATTCATTTCTATTTCTATAATTAAAGCCAAAGTCCCAAATATAATATTACTGGAAGTCCAGTGAGAGAAATGTATGCTAAAATTCAACTAAAATAATATCATAAATCAGAATCTGGGAGACCACTTGTCAATACAGAAAAGGAAGGCAAAGTAGGCAAGAAACAAAAAGATAATCACTTGTTCCTATGGCACAATTTACTCACTCCTGGTCTTTCCTTCATTCATATTGTAGCCATTTTTACTTTAAAATAATATTTACTTTTAAAAACACTATTTATATTACCAAAAAATAAAGGCAATGCCTTGGGGATACATACCTAGAAACTGTTTCTGGAGCACTTCCAGTACCAGCCTGATCTTTGCAAAAACGTCAGATGGTGATGGATGTTCCAAGTCAGTCATTATAGACTCAAAACGAATAATAACTATGTTAGGCTGGTTTTCTATCACAGCATAAAGAAATGGACAAGATGCCAGAGGCCTAAGGATATACTTCAGCAGCATCTGACCTGAAAAATCATATAAATACTCATCAAAAATCACTAAAAGCAAGTTCTACAAAGTAAGCATATCCAGAAAAAACACAGATTTTTGAGCCTAATAACCAAAATACATATACTACAACATTACGCATAACCATTATGCCCCACAGTTTTTCCCATTGAAGTTTCCTAGATTGTCGACAGGTTTGATTTAAATTATCAAAAAACTAAATAAATAAATAAGAACTAGCTTCCTTTTT